TAATTTCTCTGTCCAGTTTTCCGTCAGATGTAAAAATTGCTCCCAAATACTTAAATTCCTCTGTTGGTCTAAGGGTGTTGTTTTTTAATTTAATGTTTAAATAATCGAATGAATAAATTCCAAGGCTAATACATGTATAAGGAATCATGCAAGAGTTTCATAAATATTTATGAAAAATGTTTTTAAAAAAATAAAATAATGTCTACCAGATGGTCAATGCTAATTATAATTATCAGATAGTAGCTACTGGCTACTGCTCAATATTACAGATATTTTGTCATATACAAAAACAATATAAAACTCCCCTTAAAGTTAACCAGGTCAACAAATGCTCCATGAAGTCAGATGTGTTGGTCGAAAGGCGCAACAAAATGGATGAATGAAAAGAAGAAGCAGAAGCATAACAAGAAGGACAAATAAATGATAGCTGACATCAAATGTAACTGTTTGTAGGCTACACAAAATATATTTATAAATTAATATGGAAAATATTGTTTATACACATTTCAAAATACCCACATTCATGTGTTGATAGATACTCATGTTCATGTAATGATTTACTCAAAGAATGTTACAACACACAAGTGAATATTTTATTATCTCAGATGACAACATATAATTGAGATTCTGTAATCTCAGATGAGTGGTTGGTCTAGCAGTCAGAATACCTGGCTCTCATTCGGGAGACCTGGCTTTCAATTCTCAACAAGGTGACCACATTTTTCTGCTGGCCTGTCTGCTCGGTAGTCATAATCCTGGATATTTAAAAAAATTGAAACTGACAAGACATAAATTTTCTTGCTTGTTTTTTTCTCTTCGTCTAGTTTCTTAAAATAGAATTATCAGGAAGCATTTCCTTTAAAAACATTTTTAGTTAAGAAGAGCAACTGTGATGTGGTTCTTGAGAAGAATGTTGTGAACACCTTGGACTGCTAGAATAACTAACAATGATTGCCTGGAAATGCTTAAGAAAGTAGAACATTATATACACAAATAAGGAGACAAACAATGTTCTTTGGTCATGTAATGAGAAAAAGAGCACTGGAAAATATGGTGATGACTGGAAAGATCACTGGTAAATGAGGCAGAGGCAGACCAAGAGAAATGATAGTGGATGGCTCAAGAAAATTACCAGAAATTAAAACTCATCAAGGGAAAATACAAGGAATTGTGGAGAGAACACATTAACAGTAAACATCCACAAGACCCCATCAGCAGACTTACCAGAAAGCAACATAAACAATTTTCCATCTACGAACAGAACACTGCAGGCTCAACTACCACATGCATAAAATAAAGATTGTAGTCCCCACAGCATGCCTGTCAAACAGGACCAGAAACACCTTACTACATTCTGCAGACCTGCCCACTCTACCTACAACTTTGAAAGGAAACTTGGCCTTAAGAGCAAAGTGTGCACAGCAAGCTATGGGAAACCAAGAAGAACTTGTATCTGACGCGAGTTCATAGGGGCAGCCCACCTAATGATCTGAGCATTCAAAACCGAATGCAAAGAAGAAAGAAGAAGAGTAAACAAATGGATAATGAGAAGCAGCAGAAGGGGAAAAAAAGGTTTAACAAATGAACAATCAAAGTACCCTGTCATACCCTGTTTTTACAAGAACTTTTTCAAAGAAAAATTTTCTTTATTTTCCTTTACTCAAAAAAAAAAAAAAAACACATCCAAGACCAAACTATGTCAAAAATTAGTCAATAGAAGGAACTGAAAATTATACAAAACTCTGAATACCTTGCCCTGACAACTGACAAAAGAAACTACTGAAAAAGTCAGAAGAAGTCTGGCCATAGTAATGCAGAAGTAAAACATTAAAAGCCAGTTACACAAAATAAAACAAATTAAAAGTTTCTGGCATTTTCTTTTCTTTCTCATCCTCTGTGTGTGGGTTCTGTGGCCTCATTTTGGGAGGACAAAAAATAGACCCAGGCCTCCCCTCCCACACCCCAATAAGCAGGTTGTAAAAAAGCAACTAAGCAGGGGTGTTTCCTTTGAAGTTAAAGTGCATCTAACCGAGAGGCTGGGAACCAATAGTCTGCCTACAAATTGATCAGACTTGTAAAATGGATGTGCATCCACTACTCAAATTCTAGAACAAGAACAAAGTCCAGAAGTGGATGAACAACCAGAGCTTTCTGCCGGAACTTACAGATGGTGAACACCAAAAATAAAGAAGATTCTCATCCTTCAGGTAGTAATCGCATGGACAGCAATCCTGGAGGGGAACGAATAACCAAGAGCAAAAACTACTTGCTAGTCGGTCATATCACATAAATAAACAGACTGCATAACATCACGGCATATCAAGCGACCGAGCGTGCCCTGGCTAGGCTGCAGATCGTCTGATGAAGTGCGAGGCCTAGCGACATAAGCAGATAGTGACACAAGACCAAGAAACACAGGGGGAGCCATTGAGGTTGTAGAAATATTGGTAGGTTCCGCTGTGTTACGCGTCCTATCTTTCTACTTTTTTTTATGAGTGCCAATCAATATACTATCTGATTGTTCATTATATATATATAAAATATAGTCAGCCATATGTGTGGTCATAGATGTGCGGTCAGCAACATAGAGACTGTTGGTCAGCTAACTCTTTACTGGAATGAATAATCTAACAGCACTACAGACTAACTTACCGATACTCAGTCTACCCAGGTAAATGTTGCATTATTCATAATATATGGCATAATTTTATTATTTTAATACAAAGCACATCTTGAATGAGTTATTTTTTTTCAAAAATATCAACTGGAACTAATATATAACAAAATATATCACAGATAAAAATTCTAATACGAGATGCACGCACACAAGATGTAAAATTATTTCAATTATTAAGCATAAAATTTCATTAATAATTATATACAACAGGAACAGTTAAACAAAAGCCACAGACAACAAAATAAATACAAATGAATGCTGATAATGTTAAACATATACAACCCTTAGTAAATAAAAGTCATTTAAAATGTATAAGAAAAGTCACAGCCAATATCAATAGAAATAAATGCCAGCGATGCAAACCTTAATACATAAAATATTCATTAAAAGTATATTGAAAAAAAAAAATCATCTCTGACATTGACAAAGTAATCAGCAACAACTTTTTTTTTGCATCAAAAATTCTAAATTTGCCTTCCCCTCCCCATTTTTATATCTCTAAAAGCTAAAAAATTTTCATAACACACCTTGCAGTGGATTTCTAACACTCTGTGTTTCTTACCCACATGGCAGAGTCAAACATCCTCTTTTCAACCCATCTCTTTTCGACTTTCAGTTCCATGCAACTTGTGATGAGTAACAGACTCTTCCACATGAATCCCAGCCACCGCACAATGTGTTAAACCCCCCCCCCCTCCCCTCCTTTAAAAAAAAAAACTATTTATTCATCACAGCACACTAAAGAAACCAAGCTTCCATATCTGCTAGTTCTGCTGCGTAATATACCTGCTGGGATATTATGCAGTCATGACTCTTCTTAGCAGTCATTCCTTCCCTTGGGCATTTGTTTTAGGACTGAAAGAGTTAAGCGACCTTTTGTGTACACTGCTGTTAGTCTTTTGCACATCTGCCTTCTAGGTTTCCCTCTAGTAGGACTGAAAGAGTTAAGCAATCTTTTGTATACACTGCTGTCAGCCTTGTGCACACCTGCCTCCCAGCTTTAGTGCAAGGAAGTTTCTAGGTGGTGGGGGCCTTAAACAATTGTGAATATGACTGTATTGGTATTTGTAATAACCCGTTATATGAACATTTGAGTCCAGTCTAATGATAAATAGAATATTTTTAAAAACTATACATAAAACAAAAGGTCAAGGACATTATGTTATTTGACACTATGATTTATGTCAGGGCCATTCAATCAAGTTTATTCATGGGTCAAAATTTGAAAATTTGGGATTGTCACAGACCAGTGACCCAAGCTCAAGAATAGAAAGATCATTAATATAATACAACGGGCAATAATCCATGGGTCATTTGCTAGGTCTCAGCGGGATTAAGAGCCACCACCCCCAAACAAATCGCAAAGTTGACTAATCAGGGGCGTTTCCTCCAAAGTCAGAGTGCATCTGCTTGAGAGGAGAGAACCAGCAGTCTCCATGCAAATAAGCCAGATCTGTAAAACAGATGTGCATGCAAAACCCAAGTTCTGAAACACAAAAGTAAAGCCCAGAATAGGACAGACTATCAGAACTTTCTGCCGGAGTTAACAAAGAAAAGTCATGGTAGCACAGTGGCTAGATGCTCGCCTGTTGGGCTAAGGATTATAGGTTCAAAACTCACCTTGACTCTCAGGTCACCCCAGATTAAAATGGATAACAGACAGTCTGTGGCCAGCATGGTGTTGACGACCATCACCTGTCAAGTGGTCTAGAAAAATATGTCTGGCATCATTTACCCAATTACCCGTGTGAGTTTCCGGGGCCCTGTTGTGGGGAAAACAAGAATAGATCCAACTCCTGCGACAACTATCATGTCGCAGGAGTTGACTAATTGGGAGCTTCCTTTAAAGTCAGAGTACATCTGCCTGAGAGGCAAGGAGCCAACAGTCTGCATGCAAATGAGTCAGACCTGTGAAATGGATGTGCGAGCAACACTCAGTTTCTGGAACAGGACTAGATTCCAGTAGTGGACAAAAAATCAGAACTTTCCGCATGAGTTTACAGCCGATGAATGCCAAGAAGACGAAGATATATCTAATGCATGACTTGTGTAAGAAAAAAATTAAAAAGAATTTTACTTCATTGTTTTGTTGGCTTAAACATAACAGCAACTAATTTAGTTGAAAAACAAACAAATGCTGATAATTTAAAGAAAGCAGCTTTAACAAATACAGTAATATTTCAATTCTAAAAATATTGATGTTTGTTTCATTAATAATAAAGAATAAATTTAAAAAAAAACAGAATAAATTATGGCAGGTTAAAAAAGCAAACAAAATAAATAAATGCAAGGAGGACAAATAATTGCTTAAAATATGAATGATTTAATTCTGGTTGGTACTCAGGCTGCGTAGATCACTCAAGAATCCTTCTGGGGTCAGGATGTGTGTTGCACCTGGTAACAAATAAACACTGACAGTTTAACTTTTTTTTTTTTTGGCTATAAACAGTAATTGAGTGTGATCAGTCATTTTCTCCACTTATCAGGCAATAAATGTTTTGTCACTAAACGTATGACATTTGGTCTTGAAGGTTTGAACAATGGATCAACATCATGACACAAAGGGTAGTAACTCATAAGTGCTCCGTTCTATTTCCAATTCAAGCCTGAGTCCAAAGATTCTCAGCGCACCCCGTAGCACAAGCTAGGATCATGAAATATTTTGGGTAGATTTTCAACTCCAAATTTCATCAGGGCAGCACAGATAGGCTAATCTTTTTGATTTCCAACTGCCAAAGGATTTTTATGTGTGCAATAATACACAATGGCGTCCAATATGGCTACCCAGAGACCAGGGGAAATTACTAGATGTCCACATGAAAAAACCCTAGCCACATTTAGTCCGCGCAGGTTGAATAAATCTCGCTGTTTATTTTAACATGCTATATTATTTTATCATAATCGACGTCACTGCACAAGGGGCATTCCCATGCAAGCTCAGTCTTCCGATGCAGCAGCCACTCAAAGTACCTCTACTTCCCTGTGTGGGTTCCAGGGCCCTATTATAGGGGAAAACAAGAAAAGACCCACTGCCTACCCAAAAGCTTGTCATAAGAGTCGACTAATTTGGAGCTTCCTTTGAAGTCAGAGTGCATCTGCCTGAGAGGCAAGGAACCGACAGTCTACATAAAGATAAGCCAGACAAGTGAAAAAAAAAAATGTTTATGCAACACTCAAGTTTTGGAACAAGACCAAAGTCCAGAGGTCCATGCAGACATTTCCACTGGAGGTTGCAGACATTTCCACTGGAGGTTACAGCCCGTGAATGTGAAGAAGAAGAATCAGAGGGAAAACTGTGCAGCACACAAGGGAGTTTGAATGGCGCAGACAAAGATGGTGGAGAGATAATGTCCAGGCAGACTTACAAACACCTGCGGTCACCGAGTGGAAAGAGAAAGCCAATTATAGAGATTAATGTAGGCGGGTGATATCTGATGCAATGAACCTCAAGGGCTCGGAACGCTGAAGAAGAGAAACTATGAAAGATGGAGTAGGACTATTCAACTAAATCTATCCCAGAGCCAACATTTTGAAAATGGGAATCGGTAATGGGTCATAGACCTGAACCCTGGCACAGAAAGATCATTAATACAATTAATCAACTGGCAGTGACCCACTGGGCACTTGCTAGGCCTCCTGGGCCAGATTTGGCCACCGGGCTGCCAGTTGAATAGCCCTGATCTATAGGTAAGCCCAGTGTGCTATGATGAAGATTTATAAATACGTAATCAGTAAACATACCAATAAGAACCTCCCAGTTCTTGACAGACTGTGTGACACTGTATGCACATCTCATTTCAGAGTAAGTGACGCCACCTATGATAAAGACGATCAGCCTGGGCACTGACTTGTAGCTCGGCTTGCCTTTTTCCTGGTGCCACTGGCCGTAGCGAGTGCTGTGTGTGGAAGAGAAATGGGTTAGATTGCTACAATCTTCATCATTACATCCTTATCAAGCAAGTTATGTCACACTGTTTAATGAAATCCTAGTGTGAGTACCGGCACCCAGTTTTAGGGAGAAAAAAGAATAGACCCATTGCCTCCCTAAGAAGTATGTCAATTAAGGGTTTTCCCTCTTCAAAGTCGGAGTGCAACTGCCTGAGAGGTTAAGAACCAACAGTCTGCATACAAATAAGCCAGATTTGTAAAAAGGATGTGCACACAAAACTCAAATTCTGGAACAAGACCAAAATCCATAAGTGGGCGAACAACCAGAATCTTTCTCCGGAGTTTACAGCCGGTAAATGCTAAGAAAGAGGAGCAGAATAAGCAACACCAAATGGCTGAAATAAATCTATTGGATGTAGAAAATTATCTGCAGCTGTCAGAAAAAGAAAACTTCTTCTTTGCCTTCACAGTTGTCACCTCTAACAGAAGGTTCTCGTTGTTCATCCACTTCTGGACTTAAGCAATGTTCAAGAGCCTGATTTCTGAGTTCCCATCCAATTTACAGAGGTAGATGTACTTCAACTTTGAAGCAAACGTGCCTTTTTAGCTGACTCTTACAACATGCTTGTTAGGGGAGTAGTAGGTCAATTCAATTTTCTCCCATAATAGGGTCCTGGAACCCACACGGGGATAAACAGGAAACAAATCAATTTACCACACTCCCTGTGTGGGTTCCGGGGCCTCATTGTGGGAAAAAACAAGAACAGATATATTGGCTCCCAACAAGTATGTTGTAGAAGTCGACTAATTGGGAGCTTCCTTCGAAGTCAGAGTGCATCTGCCCTAGCGGCAAAGAACGACCAACTGCTCACAAATAAGCCCGTAAAATGGATGTACACACAAATTCAGGCCCTTGAACAAAGACGAAAAGCACATGTACAAACAACCAGGACTTTCCATTGGAGCTCACAGCTGGTGAACAAAGAGGAAGAAGAAGAAGTTACCACACACTGAAGAGGCAAACGCTGAGACTGGCCACAGCTTTAACGAGTAAAATCAACAAACTCACTCCTTTGCAAGCTGCAGTAATTTTTAAAATAAACTTGAAGTTACTCTGGTAAGTCACATGACTGCACTGAAAATCCGGCAACTAGACAAACACAATGCATCGAGAAGGACCAATCGCACTTCAGTTGGATTTATTCAGTTTTTTTTTTGGCTTCATTTTATGTTGACGCAACTCTAGTACAACTCACCTGACAAGATACAGTGAAATATGGCTAGTAATAAACTGTGCAATGTAATGCTTGTATTATTTAAAGCAAATCAAGTTTTCTGGTCAGGTGATGAGAAGAGAGGTGGTAGACATCATGGTGATGTCCGGGAAAGAAACGTGGTAGAAAAATACATGGAGGCAGACTGAGACAGACGATGCTGGGTGGTGTAATACGGTGTATGTAGACACCATCGGCATCCTCTCCCGAAAGCTGAGGTATTTTGGACATGTTGAGCCACATGGCAGTCTGGACAGAACCCTGATGTAAAATGCAGTTTCCGGATGTTGCTGCAGACATGCTGACTAATTCTTATTCTTCTTTGGGTTCACCAGCTGTAAACTCTGGCGGAAAGTTCTGGTTGTTCATCCACTTCTGGACTGCAGTCCTGTTCCAGAACCTGAGTGTTGTGTATGCATCCGTTTTACAGATCCGACTCATTTGTATGCTGGTTCCTTGCCTCTCAGGCAGATAGATGCACTCCGACTTCGAAGGAAGCTCCCAATTAGTCAACTCTTACGCTTGCTTTTGGGTAGGCAGTGGGTCTATTCTTGTTTTCCCTATAACAGGGCCCCCGGAACTCACATGGGGATCAGTTGACTAATTCATTGAGGCATCACCAACAGAATTTATCCAAAACACTGAGATTCAAGATCTGTAGAGACTGAAGGCCTAAAATGCATGTGATGATCATAATGACTGCTCTGACACTGGGTATGATGTGCAGTGCCCACTGTTTGAATGTCCACTTACCTAACTGGCCCTGAAATTTGTGGACGGGCAGATGCTCCACCAGACAGGAATGGAAAGTGTCTTGGATCTAATTTCTCTTCAATAGCATCCTGTGGAACACAGAAAACACACACATAGAACCACCACTGAACTGAGGCACAAGCTTAGTGCACAATAAAAGGACAGATCATGATACTAAAAAAAAAAAACCGCAACAGTTATCATCACTGCCAACAAGGTATACGGTTATCATTGATCTCAACAAAGTATATGGTTATCACTGATCTCAACAAAGTATATGGTTATAACTGATCTCAACAAAGTACATGGTTATCACTGATCTCAACAAAGTACATGGTTATCACTGATCTCAACAAAGTATATGGTTATCCCTGATCTCAACAAAGTATATGGTTATCACAGATCTCAACATAGTTTACAGTTATCACTGATCTCAATAAAATATCTGGTTATCACTGATTTCAACATGGCATCTGGTTTTCACTGATGACATAGTTATTACTGATCCTAACAAAGTATCCGCTGACAAGGAGAGGTAGTGAGGAATAGCTAGCTATCCCACCTCGAACTGCCATAACCTAGTATGTGTGAAGCCCGAACTATTTGCACCCTTACATCAGCATCTGCTGTGGAATCACCATAACCAATTCAGTTTGGTCTGAAAGTCTGTGGCTTCAGCATTGCGAACACGCTTTTTAATGACGGAGTGCCGTGTTCTATAAAAGCTGCGGGCAACTTGCCTTGCATTGGTCTCGACAGTGGTACTGGGAGCTGCCTGTTCAGGAAGCAATGGCAAACTAATGTACATAAAATCTGCCTAGAAAAACCACAAAGGCCAAAAAATGCTATGGTTGGTTCTGCAAGGTCCTGCAAAGATGTGCAAAGAACTTTTTAACTGTCTGAAAAAGATCTCAAAAGATTGGGACGAAAAACAGACAGAAACTGGTAAAAAAACCCATTAAATATATGTCAGCTACAAAAACACTTACAAATAGCAAACAGAGGACGCTGAGGCAGTCACAAGTACAGTGGTACCTAGGAATACGTTCACTGAAGTATACTTTCAACATGTTCTGTTTAGACACAATCTTCTGCTTAGTATACATACTGTTTGGTACACATACAAGGATCAGGAACAGATTAAGTACGTACATCAAGGTACCAGTGTACTCTGAATATAAACCACCTTTACCTCAATAATGTCTTTCACGTACGGAACCCATCTAGACATCTGGTATGTGTGCTCCGAGGCTCTGGCCTTGCGGTTAAAGGGTTGGTACGGCTGTTGAGCCTTACGCCTGCCACCCTGAAGGAAGAAATCATCCATAAATCAGTGGTCAAACAGCAGAAAGGACCAAATGAATTCCGCTGAGTAAGCAAAGGACCTTTTCTTCATGTCTTGAGCAGTATAAAGTATATAGTGCTAGCCCAATAAATGTTTAGACCAATCGGAACTCAACTGGTGATCAAGTTAGTATAATATTAGCTGCTTTAACCTGCCCCATAACATTTCCTGGTGTTACCCATTTTAGGTTGTCAAGTTCAAAGCCACAGCCAAATAAAAAAAAAAAGAATCAATTACTTGAAGGAGACTCAACCATATGGTCCTGGGTCGACAGGCAAGTGTGTTGGAGACTGTGCTATTATTGAGCACCAAACTGCATTAAACTAAACAAAATACATTAAGAAAGAATCTACCATTATAAACCTATCATCAAAGCTTTAAAGCAAAGACTTGTGGAGTATGAAACAAAAAGTTTGAAAACCAACCCAGAGATTGAACTTTGAGGCAGACTGGTGAATATGAAAATTAAAGCTTGAAAACGAGCCCAGAGATTCAATAGCCTGATTAAAATATGTACAGATAATTGGGCAGAATGACACTAATTCCATAAATGCCTATCAATACTTTTTTAATTACTCATTATAGTTATTTTCTACCTTTCTTTTGTCAATATTAGCATTGTGTCACTAGGCTTGATGTCACAGTTTAATTGATGAGCTGTCCCTGACTCCTTCAATCCATATTCTTCTCAGTCTTCCTCTGTCTCTTGACGTTTCCATTGTCAAGCTGTCAGTATTGGTAGGATTAATTTTCTATGACAACTTTCTGATTTTTTGACGATCAACAAAGTGAATCCCTTTACAGTGGTTACTGATTGTTTACCATTATCATTATCATGCAGCAGACCTTTTGCAGCACATCGCTCCCTTTACTGCATGCCACAAAGCCACTTGACACTGAACAACGTTCCTGAAACTGTCAATATTCATACCTTTTGTGGCCTTGAAACCCCGTAATCACTCTTAGTTTTAAATCCGCACGATGGTTGATTTCCTTTAAGGGGGGTAAAGGGTGTGGGTGGTGGTGGGTAAATGACCCAGGGCTTGCTGGACTAAAATGGGTACCAAGGAATGTCCTGAGTAGAATGTTGAATTAAGAATCAACATCACAGCACTACACTCCCATAAGCACTCCATCTCCATCTTCAGCAGCAAGCGAAGAGTTCCAATTCTGATGGTACTAGTCCTGAGTAGTCGAACTGACCACACCACTCATTCAGTACAGACTGGTCTATGACTGGCCTGTTCTGCCTTAGCAGCAGATGACCGGCGTATTTATTGCACCAACATTGCTAGTGATCTTAGAGAGCTATGACGATTGGAGGATGTTAGTAGCCAAACAGATCATGATGTAAATCAAAATATTTTAGCAAGATAATGTAAAATTTAAATAAAGGTAAGGGCTCCCTTTTTTTTTTAAACGCCAGTGGTGTATGGAGCTTATTTATTTATAGACCAATCGAAACTCAGCAGGTGATGTGCCCAGTTATAGACTGGGTCAACCCGGGAGCCGAGGTCTTCTTCTTCAGCATTCTGAGCTTTTGAGGTTCACTACCGCAGATATCACCCGCCTCCACTCATCTCTCTGGTTGGCCTTCTCTTTCCAGTTGGTGACACCAACTATTTGCACGACTGTCTGGATACTGTCTATCCATCATCTTCTTGGTCTCCCTAGTGGTCTATGACCATTTGTCTCCCTTGTCTATACAGTTTTTACCACTTTGGGAGACGAGGTCAATTTGGAAAAACCTGCCTCAGTGCAAATTTGAACCCTAGAACTGTTAGCTGACAGACAAGCATTTAGCTATTAAACACCCCAGCTCCTTTATAGTGAGCATAAAACATTTTAGTAAGATCATGTATAATGGTCATAACATCCTGAATACCTGGGAAAACTGACACAATGGTAAAATCATCTCACAACTTTTTGGTAGTAGAAGCAAAAAAACATTTCAGAAAGCTAATGTGGCATGCACAAACACCCTATAGAAGCTTATGTAGTAACATAAATTATTAAATCAACTGCCGGTAAAAAAACCCTCACAAAAGCAAAATAATGTTTACATCCTCCAAATACTCAAGAACCATCATGCAAGTAACAAAACATGTCATCAAGTGAAACAGAACTGGTTGATTATATACTCTTGTTAAGAAATAAATTTTCTTACAATGCATATAAGATTAAACATTAACAGCGAAACCTGACCATTTTCTGTAAATATTATATATGGAATAATTGACGTTCAGTGTTATGGTCATGCAGGAAAGTTAATAATGCTTTCTCTTGTGCTGCTAAACATGTGGTATGTCAAACTGGTGCAGCATGAAAGGGTTTGTTTTGTGGTGGGTAGAAAATCCAGATCATATTTTTTAAATGTTATGCCAGTAATAAGTAAGAAAGTTGTTACATTTGTTATTATTTCTGTAATATGATATAAAAGGCATCATTTCTGTATTTTGAGTCTCTTTTTCACTTCTTCAGGCGTATTGGGCTCATAGGGCTAGACCCATATTTTATAGACCAGTTAGCACTTGCTGCTTGATGTAGTCAGCATCACGGCAGTCACCTTTACTTCCCAGGACTTCACCAGGTACCTACTCAAGGCTCGGTTGACCTAGAAGCCAAGGTAATTTACGAAAGAGTTCAGCTCTGCCAGGACCAAAAACCTACAACCTTCTGATCCGCAGGTGAGCCTCTAGCCACTACGACTCACATTTCAAAGCATATGGTCTGAATAACATGGTGCTAAACCAATAATTTTTACTATGTAATCAATATAAATTGAGATCATGCATCTTTCCCTTATGTTCTTCACTTAAAGAAATAAATCAGGGACAACAAAATCAGACAGTAAAAAGCATCCTAATTTTATGAACAAGTACAGTACTTTACATTCTTACATTTGTTCTGTATGTATGCTGTATGCTGTATGTATGTATCTCTGTGTGTGGGTGTCTGTATGTCTGTCTGCGTGACTGTATGTATCAGCATGTGTCTGTCTGTGCATGTCTATGTGTGTTTCTCTGTATGTGTTGTGTGTGCCCCTTTGTTGTCTGTATGTGTCTGCATGTCAGAGTATATGTCTGTGCGTGCTGAATATATGTGTCTGCGTGTGTATTTCTATGTGTTTGTATGTATATGCATTTCTGCGTGTTTGTCTCTGTGGGTGTCAGTATGTGTTTGTCTGCCTGTTTGTCTGTATTTGTGTGTGTGTGTGTGTGTTTGACTGCGTGTGTGTCTATGTGGCGGTATGTATGTGTCTGCATGTTTGTCTGCGTATGTGTGGTGTGTGTGTCAGTGTGTGAGCACGAATGTAAATATGTGTGCTGTGTGTTTCCCTGTGTATGTTTATATGTAAGTGTCTGTGTGTGTGTCTGTATTTTTGTCTGAGTGTTTGTGTCTCTGTGGGAGTGTCCGTGTGTGCATGTGTGTGTCTCCATGCATGACTGGATTTATGACTGTATGTGTGTATGCCTGTACTACGTATGTATGTATTAATGTATGTATGTATGTATGTATGTATGCCTGTATGTTTGTATCTATGTATGTATGTATGTTTGTGTGTACGTATGCCTGTGTGTATGTGTGTATGCATGTTTGTTTATATGTATCTGTGTATGTATGTATGGAATGTATGCATGCATGTTTGTGTGTGTTAGTGAGTGGGTGAGCGTGTGTATGCGGGTGTATGTATGCACGCGCGGGGTTTTGCATGCACTTTACAACTCATGCTTTTGTGTTCTTTTATAATATTCATAATATGCATAACATCATATGATCATAACATGCTTTATTAGTAAAATACACTGCTGTGCGAAAGATGGTTGACTGGAAGGGCCGAATGTAAGACGGGCCTGCGTGCCCAATTTGTGACCCTTTGAAAATAAAGTTCGTTCGTTCGTTCTGTAACAAAGGTAAAATCTTGAAATCTGTTTATTTTTACACTTTTTCTTTTTCCACCTTGTACTTCAGCTAAGTGTCGGAAGGAGCTGTAACATTCTTTGATGAGCTCTATCAAGAGCACTGTTAAGATTGATATTTATTTCTGTAAGGCTGTTCTTAATGCAATCACTCAACCGGCTGCATAAAACTGTGTGCTCTGTTTTCTAAACCACATTTTCACTTCACATTCAACTTCTGCGCAACTCGCGAAATGTCTCCGGCCCAACACGGGTTTTCAGTGTACCACTTTATGGGCTAAACATGTGTCAGAATAAATAGGAAGCATTTCCTTATGAATGTCCTTTGCAGGCAGCCCTTCTGCCCTTATCCCCCCCCCCCCCAAATAAACCACACACACAAAAGGACATTTTTTGAGGGTACACTCCATAAGTACAGTCACCATTGTGTTTCTGTGTTGCGAATGTGCATGCAACACCTAGCGCCGCTTAACGAAAAGGGACATTAATTTTGAAGTTGCTGTCACCTAATGACACCTTTAGAAACCACTAACTACATTCTGCTGCCATCTCACAACCATTTGTGACTTACTTATTGACTTCCCCTCGTATGAAAACCTGGACCAGAAAAAGAAAATAAAAGGACTGCAGTATGCGGCTTTATTAAATATGACTGATTTTCAAAATAAAATATCTCCTTTGAAGTTGAAGCACATCTGCAAACGGCAAAGAACATTTTACTGCGCACAAATAAGCCAGAAAAATAGATGTACATGCAAAACTCAGGTCCTGGCACAAAGCCGAACTCCAAACAGACGAACAACCAGAATCTTTCATTAGAGTTAGCTAGTGAAGGAAAAAAAAAAACGTACAAACTGAAATAGTTTTTTTTTTTTAAAAACCAACAGAAAGAGATAATGGAATACAAGACCAGACAAAATGAAATTAGAAAACAAACAATAATACAAGAAAAAATTGACCCACTGATAATTTTTATTGTTTTTCTTTATAATCTGGGTTCAAATTCAAAACAGGTAAAAAAAAAAGTAAGATAATAAGGGTAAAAAACTCAACAACAAAAAAGTGGGGGGGGGGGGGGGGGGGGGTGTGTGATAATGATAATTTAAGGTGATATGCAAATTCTATATATTCTTGTGGATTATTAGTCATCACTTTTGCATCATGTGAATGATAACCTCCCTAATGAAGGTTCCTATCCACTTTTGAGTGAAGCAAGAAGACAGTTGTAGTGAGTCATGTCCTTGTCATGAAAGTATTCTATCAGTTTGTCTGTCTGCTTGCTATCTTCTTCTGCCTTCCATGTCCCATAGGCTTTAAACCAACTTAGGCTGGGAATAGTGTATACTTGAGGTATTGTTGCATGTGCTCACATCAGCTTTCATGATTGACCACCTGCATCATCAAGGAACTTTAATTCTGTTAGTGTTGGCACATATAGTGGCTGCCTTAGGCATCTACTCTGTGCTGCAAGCTTCACAATTCTGCAGCAACCGATATGTGTTTGAAAGACCAAAAAAAAAAAAAAAGGATTTTGTGTGATTTCCTCTGAGCAAACAGGGGTGACCCAACTGCAGGGAAGTTCGAACCTCAGCTAATGACTAACCAATTTATGCCACACTATTTGAAGACTTCATCATGACTAGTTGGATTTTCTACAGGATTAGGTAGCCACTTTCATGCAAATCATCCTTAGATGCCTCTTACGACAGGCAAAAATAGGTTACAGTGCTACTATTCTTTGCTTCCCTTATAGGTCATTGTAACATAGACATTTTCTGCAGTCATAAGATTTTTGTTTTTCAACATATCTCTTCGGACAATGTGTCCAGCATTTGCGGATTGTGTACTTCTGTTACAAGATATCATGTCTCTTTACAAACTGATTCCTCTCAAAATGTCTTCATTTTTAGGTCATCCCCACTGCATTCTATACATGACCAAAGGTCATCCAATCAACCCTGTAACAGATCCTTAAGTTAATAGTGATTCTCTGTGTAAAAATGCTGAATAGCTAGCTAGGAATTCATCATTTCTCTTCTGATCTAACAAAGGTTGATTGCACTCTTGTATGGAAACACAGCTCCCTAGCCTCTAAGCAATTTTGTTTCACAAATCTATTCACCTTCTCAGTGTCCACCAGCTGTAAACTCCAGCAGAGAGTTCTGGTTGTTCGTCCACTTCTGGACTTTAGTTATGTTCCAGATTTTTGCAAGCACATCAGTTTTACAGATCTGGCTTACATATGTATGCAGATCGTTGGCTCCTTGCCCCTCAGACAGACACACCCCGACTTTGAAGGAAACACCTCTAATTAGTCACCTTTTACGACATACTTTTTAGAGAGGCGATGGGCCTTGTTTCCCCCGACAAATGGGGTCCCAGATCCCACAAGAGGACGTCGATATCTTGATAGTTCATGGTTCATATCCACAGGGTATGCAAGATTAAAAATACATAATATACTGAGACACATATCCGGGAATGTGTGATGGAGTCCATTCTAAAACAGAACACAATCTGTATATTCACCGGCTTAAAACACACTTACTTAAGCTATAACCAAATTATTACCCATGCTTACATCATGTTACAAGCAGGATCGTATTGTAACAAACCACATAATAATAAGGTTAAGCTGCATATACAAACACACACACACACAGAGATCAATCGGCAGGAAGTTATTACAGCCCACAACCCATTATTATAAATAAAGAAGTCATCAGTTATGAATACCTGTCACATAATGTGTGAACCCAAAGCATTAAGGTGTAAATGAACAGGTTAATTGTGGAATAATGTAAAGATATGGACTCACTCAAATATAACTGGGATGGGATCTCAGGAAGGTCATCAAGTAATAGCTAATTTATTTTACTAAGTATGTGGCTCGTGTGCCCGTGTGCCCGTGCGTGTGTGTGACTTGAATGCTTACAACTGTATTAGTATTAAATGGTGTACTTGTTGCTGTTTGTTGAATTTTTGTTTACTGAATAGATGTTTTAATGGACATGTAATAAGATCTAACCGCCTCTCAAAAACAATATCGAAGGGCTCAATAGAGGGAAAGAGGAGAAGAGGCAGACCAAGAAAGACTTGGTTACAGAACCTGACTGACTGGACAGGCCTCAGGCATGCAACCATAAAGTCCATCGCAACTGACCACCAGTCAACAGAAACTGGTGACCCAACCACACGTGTTACGGGATGATGATGATAAATAGATGTTTAGTGAGAATGTATCCCTACATAAGAGATGTACAGAATAAACTTTATGTATTCATTATTGAGGTACCTGCATGGAGGAGAAGGAATCAACTGGCATGACAGAATGTGGAGCTCATGGACAAACTGAAGTGAATCAAAAGGTGAGAAAAAGATGCTGGCATTGGACACACTAAGAAACCTTATATTCCCGGGATGTCCTTAATCAAATGCCAACAGGGCAAAAGAACCTAAAATACATAGAAGAGTGAACCAGAGACAGGAAGATAAACATGTAAAGGACATACATGGCGATGAAGAGACAGTAAGATAAATATGTAGAGGACATACATGGCGACAAAGGAAACAGCAAAGGATAGGAGGGCCTGTGTTCATTTACTAACAATGCATTTAAGCATAGTATCTATCTACAGAAGAATGAGAACACGATGGAGAGATGCAAAAAAATACACAAGGAAGATGAGTAGAAGGAAATTAGGACACAAAGGTTACACACACACACAAAAACCACTATTAATCCCCATTCTTTGAGCATGTCATGAGATGGGGGAAAAAGGGAATACAACAGGAGAGCTGGAGGGGAACAGAGGCAGGGAGAGATCAAGAGAGAGCATGTTAGAGTCTTACATTATGGTGTGCACAGCCATATTGGCCAATACCACATACCACTGACTTCAAGATGGAGAGGTTATCAGTACATATTCTCACAGGAAGTGAAGTTATCATTTCTTTATACATCTGTCATAAAATTGCTGTTTTATATTTATCTGAGGTTCCTAACTTAGGTTTAACATTATAAATTCACTCGTAACTTAGTTTTGAATTTTAAGTTTACAAATTTGGGAGCGCTGTTTTAAATGATGAGTATAAGTAGAAATTTTGAAAATGAGACTGAAATCTGATTTACATATACAAATAATTTTATTGTTGGGTACACACAGCATAGTGTTAACAGCTATTCTGTCACATTTTAGGAAGATTGCTTCAGGAGTTAATCCATTTGAGGTACATTACTTTAGTAGTCAATTAATATAATGGGTACAAATCTAACAGGCAATTTATGTAATATACGTTACTCTACTTTTTGTTTTGCTTCTATGAATATCTTTTGAATGAGTCCTGTCTCTGTCATGAAGGTACCCTTGCAATGTAAGAAAAAAAAAGGTGAAGCTATTCAGAAGGGATGTGGACTCAGTTACCTTCTCTGGAAAAGTTCCATAACCTTCATTGTCAATGCCCCTCTTACCCGAAGTGGGCTGTGGGCCATCACAACATGGGAGACACAAAGGCAAACAACAATGAAGGAAAGATTTCTTCAGTTAATTCACAGACAAAAGCTTTCGATTCCACTACAATAATATACAACACATTGTTGCACTGGTGAGCATGCATACGGGCCTCTACTAAAACTCATGCCGGTGCAATCTTTCACAGCAGAATATTTGACCAGTACATTTCTGGAGTTCACCCATGCAACCAAAATTTAAGTCATTTCTTCTTGTTGGCGTTCGCTAACTAGATTCTGGTAGAAAGTTCTGGTTGTTTGTTTACTTCTGGACTGTAGGGCCTCAGTCTTGTCCCAGAACCTTAATTTTGCATGCACATCCGTTTCACAGATCTGGCTTACCTGTATGCAGACTGTTGGTTCCTCACTTGTCAGGCAGATTCACTCCGACTTACGAGAAAAAAATCTCGAATTAGTCGCCTCTTACAATGTGCTTGTTATGGAGACTGTGAAAAGAAGACAAAATAAATGTCTGTAAAAAGTCTGCCAGTAACAGCAACCTTCATAAGGTCAGTACACTGACTTGTGGCTGATTGAGTTTATGATGTAATCTAGTCTAGGAGGTAAGCTCTGACAGGCGAAGAAAGCACTGCTCTTTTGATCTGGCATATATAATAAACAATGCACTGACAGGCACTCAACAAAACAAGCAGAAAGAAAGATGGACATTCTAGACAACATAAAAATTGAAAGCTGTTTAATTAAAATTAATCACCTATTAATTTATTTTCATCTGGCAGTGTGAGCAGGACATGCGTTGTTCCAAATGCATTGATGCTACCTTTCCTTGGAGTCAGCCAAACAGACAGGAGGAAGGGATTATGTTATGTGGGTAAGTCAATATAGGGACTCTACAATACTGCCCAGGCTTTTTTGCTATGGAGAGGATGAACTACTTCTTTGGCTGCAAACTCTGGCAGAGAGTTCTGGTTGTTTGTCCACTTCAGGACTTTAGTCTTGTTCCAGAACTTGCGTTTGGCATGCACTCACATGGGGAAGGAGCAACTTTATCCCTGGCATTAATTAGCATCACCATGGGCTGTGATTCTGGTACCAACCTAAAGCACAATAGAACATTGGGTACATATGAACTTTCCCACATCTAGCACCAACGCAAGATTTCGTGTCGGCTCCCATTTATATGTGGCAGTTCCCACAGGCTGTTCTATGTTCTAGGGATGTTAGCACTTGTGTTATTTTCCCTTCGACGTGCATACACACGATGCGAAAAACTGGCTCCCAGACGTTTGAGGCCCTACACGTGGCAGTCAACAGTGCGCAACTGGTTTTTTGTTTTGTTTGGGTGCAAGCTAGTTTTCCTTTCTGTCAACTACATTTTCATTGCAACCGTCACTGGTTTGAGAATTGGTGGCATTTTGCGGCGGACCCTGAAAAAGGCTGCCTGTGAATATACTCAGTGACCCAGAAGATGACAAGCCTGCAGTTTTACAGATGCTGTGTTGCTAAAGAAAAGCAATGCTACTCTGCTTGTTGCTCGCAAATGAAGACAGCTGAACGAAATTCATCTTGCAGTTCAAGCCACCAAGTAAGGAAGCAGTGACGGTGAGGAAGAGTCAACGCTGTATCATACAGTGCTGGTTGCTGACAAGGTGGAAAACAGAATAAAATTTACGCGGAATATAGAATGCTTACAGTGTTGAAAATAACAAGATTTGACACCCATAGAACACAGGACAATCCATGGGATTGGCCACGGCATGAATTTGGAGCCGACACGAAATCTCGCGTTGGTGCGAAATGCGGGCAAGTTTGTGGTATGTACCGAACACTTGCCTAAAATAACGGAGAGGTGTCATGTACCCCACCAAATAATATAACCTTACTGTCTGGTCATTAATTTCTCAGGACCTTTTTGTCTCGGCAATAACCAATAAATAAAGGCATAGTTAACTGCACAATAAAAGATAAGTTGGCAACACCCGATGAGAACACAAATGCACATGCAGAGAGAGAAGAGATAAAATATTTTTACAGTTCAGAGAAGCTCAAGTAGCTTTAACGTGCCTAGAATCAAGTTCAGGGAGAAAATGTAATGTTATAAAATTATGTTCTAAAACACTACAGACCTGATAAGGAGAACTCATCAGGGACCCAAGAAATAGTTCTTTTTATCAGAAATTCCTCTTATCCAGATAAGATTTCAAGCAAGAAACATTGTGGGGATAAATACATTTGTTTTCTTTACAACATAAATTTGTCACATCCAAGATCGCCTTAAGTGGTCTGCATTGTACTTGTAAAATATTTTATTTTTTTTAAGAAACTCTGATATTGATAAGGTACATGTCAAGATCTTTTGGGTACGAACAAAGGTCAACTCTGGGAATTTGCTGTCAAAATCACATTCCTCATACATGACCTTGCTATTAGGGAACTGCACATTTACTTCTAAGTAGCCTGGGAAGAGGTTTAGGTTTAAACAAAGGAACAAGGGTAGTAACCCATGAATGCTCCGTTCTACTTTTAACAAGACTGAGTCAGAAGAATCTCAGCAAAGTGCACGAACTCCGCAGCACCGGTGAGGATCCTGAAATACTCTGGGTAGATTTTTAACTCAAAATTTTGCCCGGGCAGTACCATTAGGAAACACTTTTCAATTTCTGACTGCCAAGGAATTTTTTTTCACATTTTCACATGCGCACCCAGTCTTTCTACCCACAGAGGCACCAGTATCAGTTAAGAGGATTACTCCAAGATGGAAACAGAAATGAAGGCGAGAATGGCCGGGCACCTCAACGCTTCTTCTTCACATGGTGTCAGTATTCATTGTGTCCAAAGTCTTCTGTACTGTCAAACATCATTGACACCTTCAGACATGATGTCAAACTGTCCAACATCTTCATCTCTTGGTCTCACTCTGCCTCTCTTCCCCTCCAATTTTTCTGTTCTCACAATGATCTTTATCCTGTCCCAAATTCTAGGGGTCTTTCTTTGAACACCATATAATGATCTGCATAAGTTCGTTGCCTTGATACAACCTGTTGTACAGAATGGGTCCAGATGAAAATTCAAGTTATACTCTTTAGACCATTCAATGGATTGACTGTTAGTCAGTCGCCTGTCCTTTGCAGAACCTTGCTAAAATAACAACCTTCCAGAAAACTTCTTGATCGCAAGCAAGATGTCCCGCATCCGATACATCCATCTGGAGATCATCCACCACATCATGCACCCATCTTCTCTTCGGCCTTCCTCTTCCTCAGGCATATACCCCTCTATTATTTTTCTCTCTAAACTTTTGTGACGTTTCAAGTGACAAAATATTTCAATTTTATGTGTTTTTCTTAACATTTGATATTTTTAAAACCCGTCTATAACATTTGTATTCAAAGGCATTTATGTGCTTTTCTGCTTGTTTAGTAAGTGTCAAGGTCTCACAGGCGTATGTTGCAATGGGAAAGATTCATGCTCTTAGAAACCTAATTTTTGTAGTTCTGTCTGTTCCACTTCATAATTTATTCAGTTATTTGAGTCTTTGAATATCAACTGATAGTCGTCGTTAAATTTCTTTCACTGTGTCACCATTGTTGGTAATCAATGCCAAAAGATATTCAAAATTTTCCACAACCTCCAATCTTTCCTCATCAACATATATTTCTTTCTCCATAGTAGTTTTATCTGTATGCATTATCTTTGTTTTTGCTATTTTAAGGTATCAGTTGTGATTTTCACTATTTCTTTGGGTTGAGGTTATTAAGTTTTCTACACCAGTCTGTGATGTGGATAGCAATACTGTATCATCGGCATATCAGATCTCTGGTATTTCATGACCACCGATATTTAGGGCATCATGCTGCTCTTTAGTTATATGCTCTCTGACATTTCTCATTTATATTTTCGGTGCACAGGTTAAACAAATAGGGTGACAGCACATAACTGTGACGGGTTCTTTGCTTGATGTCAAACCAGTCTGATGTCTAGGCATTTATTCTAACTGCTGCTTGTTGGTCTAGACAGAGCATTGTTATAAGATGTGATGGAAAGCCCATATTCCTTATGATTTCCTAAAGTTTTTGATGTGGTACACAATCAAATGCCTTTGAATAATCCATAAAACATGAGAATAGGTTTACTTTAAATTCTCTGGACTTCAATGTTATTAAAGGCATGTTGGTTAAGTGATCCCTTGTTCCTCTTCCTTGTCAAATCCAGCTTGAACTACGTTCATCTCTTCTTTCATTTTCTTATGGTCTTCCCATTATGATTTTTAGTAGAATTTTACTTGCATGACTGATCAGAGCAACAATTCTATAGTTGGTGCATAATTTCAGGTTGCCCTTTTTTGGTAATGGAATGAAGATAGTTCTCTTCCAATCATTTGGCCAAATACCATATTTCCATATCTTTTTACATAATGCTTGATAGATTTGTATGCTTTCTTCCCCTCCCGCTTTAATTAGTTCAGCTGGTATCGAATCACATCCTGGTGATTTACTTTTCTTTAGGTTCTTTGTTGCCCCTGCAGTTTGATCTGATGAGGGTTCAGGTTCTGTCTCTGCTGTCATTGGTTCATTCATTCATTGGTTCATGTAAGTCATTCATATTCTCAGTCATTCATATCATACATTCTACTGCAGTATTTCAACCATCTTTCTAGAATTGGTCTAGATTCTGTCAAGGTGTTTACCAAATTGTCACAGATAACATTTAATCGAGGTTGAACATTTCTTGTCAATAACTTCAATTCTTTGAACATTTCAGAATCTCTTCCATTCTTATGATATTGTTGTTTTAATCAAACAATCAAGTATATATTAGTTTTTATTCTTTCTTATTTCTCGGGTAAAAGATTTATACTTCATCTTGCTGTTATCGATTCATCTCCTGTCTTTTCAGTTCCCTTTGTTGTTTTATTAATTTTAATGTGTCTGATGAAATCCATGGCTTATATTGTTTAGTGCTAGTTGGAATTAAATCTTTGGCTACTGTTATCAAGATATCTCTAGCTTGTACTGCCAATAGCAGCTGGGCTGCTATATCTTCACCTTTTGGCCAAACACATGTGATTTAAGAAACAATGATTCACCGTTTACAACAAGGGCTAGGAAGTCTAATCTTAAACCACCCACACCCAAATCCCAAATGAGGCCTCAGAAAGTTTTAAGGTACACTTAAAAAAAACATACAAAAACTCAGAACACAACATTCACGTTACAAGCAAAGTTACATACAGGGATGAAGTTAACTGTAACTACTCTGGTCACTCACATACAAATATGCTTATAAATCTATTGAAAAAAATGTACGTCACAAGAAATGTTGTCTACAAATGTGAAGATGACTAATTTATCTGGAACAAGATTATTTTTCAGATACTGCGGTTGCTATGGCTGGTCCGGTCCCAGACAGAAGCGATGTTATCAACGCCAAGTGCAGCACTTATAGTGGCAACGCGCACGCCAGGGGGGATGACTCCATATCCCTGTCTAGACTGATTGACATGTGGCAGCAGGCTGAAGCTGCAAGAAATAAACATTTCACTAAGGGGACAGGATGATACATTAATCAACCCAGAACAGGCGTCATCCGTCGTTTTACACTTATGGAGCTTTTGCGGAGGAGATCGGAGCACCTACAGATCTGTCCGGAGTGCTGTTTTAATAATCTGGTCGGTGACATACAAATATACCTATTCATCTACTGACAAACATTGACATGCCATGCTACATGGTGACAGTTAGACCATACATAATTCTACCCATAAACTAAATCTAATCACAGGGACAATATACACATGCACACAAACACATCAGCACTCACATCCTGAATGATTGGCACCCCCAGGTTTTGAGTGTTGGTGATGATGCATTTCTCTTCTGCAGGGATCTGGGCATGCTGCACCAGTTTGGCCAGGTTTTCCTCAGAAATACCTGAAAAGCCAAGCCTACACTTAAAACATGATTGAAAACAATCCTAAATTAGGTAAATAATGAGGAAATAAATCATACTGCATTCCCTATCTGGGTTCCAGAGGGGAAGAACAGATCCGCTGTCCTATAATAAGCATGTGATAAGAGGCGGCTAATTAGGGGTGTTTCCTTTAAGTCAGAACACATCTGCCCGAGAGGTGAGGAACCAACAGTCTGCATACAAAAAAAGCCAGATCTGTAAAACAAATGTGCAAGCAAACCTCAAGTTCTAGAACAAGACCAAAGTCCAAAAGTGAATGAACAACCAGAATTTTCCATCAGAATTAACAGCTGGTGAACACAAAGAGAAAGAATATACTGCAGAGTTTACTGCCTGGCATGGTCCATGTGTCCCATTGGATGTATACTGCAGAATATACATTGGCACATAATGAAGCAAAATGATGAGTCCTTTTGACTGACATATACAAATCCCACAGTTCATTGTTGTTACACTGTAATCTCATCATGGAAGTCTGTAGCTGTTTGAAGTGCTGACAGGCAATAATCTGTGCAACATACTGTTTATGGGAAAGCTGAAGGGAAGACAGGCAGAGGGAGACAAAGAAAAAAAAAGATGTTGGATAGTCTGACATATCATGGAAGAAAATCTGTATCAGGGATGATCGACAGTACACAAGACAGAGGGTTGTAGACAGGACATCATCACCAATGCTGCGCAGCAATGCACTCTAAGAAGATAAAAAAATATAACACTTTACCCCCATATTCTGCTTTGTGCTGCTAGGCATTGTAGATTAACAGGTGATCAGAATCCAAGCTAGGGCATGCTTGGTTTCCCAATATTCAGCGACGTTGTGAAGTTTTAAGGTATCAGTGACTCCTTTAATCCAAGTCATTCTTGGTTGTCCTCTACATCTTGGTGTTTCCACTTTCATGTTGTACATTCTCGTTTCTGGCATCACTGGATTCATTCTCATTAAGTCGCCAACGGCGCCTTCTCCATGACAACCAGCAGCATGACAATGGAGGTGATGGCAGTGACGCAAGCGCTTACCTGGCTTGAAACACAAAAATACACCCGCTTGTGTATACTCAGTGATTCAATGAGTATGATCCGGAGGGTTCAGGCAGGTTCAGTGCGAAGACAATGGCTTGAATCATTACAGAAGTCCACTGTGCGTGGAGTCACCTTTATTTTTGTTCCGGGACACGCAGGCGTCAATGGAAATGAAAGAGCTGACAGGTTGGCTGGATCCGCTATCACTATCGACGGTCAGCCTATGGATCATGCTGATATTATCAATGCCCTCAGAGAAATGGGAAGGATAGAGGACTTTGGTGGCAGTGAATCAACATCACTCGCCAGAATGGCAGACTTGGGAATTAAGATCGGTACAGCAAAAAACGAGACGCACACCAGACACGCCAGAAGACTTGTTAATCAACATAGAACTGGTACTATTAGCCATCGGACGTTGGGGTTCATACTGAGGGGAGGATCTGAGCACCTATGGACATGTCCGGAGTGCAATGAGGATAACCCAACTAACTAACTAACTAAGTCGCTAAACCATTCCAGCCTTTGTTTTATTAAATGAATTTAATTATTGGTGTTGTTCCAATAGTTCTTGTAATTTCTTCTTTCTTCACATGATCTTTTCTAGGTTTGTTTATAGCATTTTTCAATCTCACTTCACAGGTGGTCAGTTTTCTCTCATGTTCTGTTGTCAATGTCTAAGTCTGACACTGACAGCACAAGGCTGGTATAAAGATTACATTTATTTTTTGTTTCCACTGGGATAACTGGGCGTTTCAAAAAGGGGAATACTAATTGCCAAAATGTGTGGCTTACAAGTTGACATTGTGTACAAATCGACATTGTGTACAAGTCGATCTGAAGATTGTTAGCTCAAAATTCTCAGTCAGGCCTAGATCTACCTAACACCTTTGGTACCTGCCATATAAGTTGATATAAGTTTCGGAAAGATTTTAAAAAGTAGGTAGTTAGGTAGTTATACCCCACCAGGACATCACACAAGCAATAAACACCCGGTGACACAAAGTGCCACCATGCGGATGACGATCACCCGTGGAGAGGTCAGAGAAACCCCTTTCAGCCGTTAGGCCATATCTATGCCCCGGCTATATTCAGGGCCCCCGACAGAAGCCACGGTGAGGCTTCAAATATAATAAAATTGCATCCCACATGGAGACGACAAGACTTAGAATCTTGACTTATACGTCACAGTTTATAGCAGGGAACAGCATAAAAGACTGACCTGCTTTATGAATGATATAGAGGAGGATGATGCGTATCTTGTCATATGCTGTGATGTTCAAGTCTAGCAGTATTGGGACAATGTTCCTCATGTGGTCCCTGATCTTCTCCCCATCGGCATCTGTTCCCATGGCCAAGTCCTGGGAAGATAGCAAACAGTGGTCACTGGTCTATATTTATTAACTTCCAGTTTTCAGATTGAAGAAGAAACAAGGAAGATTAAATTTTATTTAGGGAAACTTACAGATGTTATTCATGGAAGGACTTACACGATAGCAATTAAAATGGTAAACAACATTTAACACTGAGACACCTGTTGAAAGATAAGTAAGAGCATCAAACCTGTTTTACCATACATAAAACGCCAATGTGTTTATCATACATAACACCATCCAAAAAGTGTTAACATAAAAAATACCATTCAACATACTTTATCACACATAATACCCTTCAACCTGTTTCACCACCCATACAACACCAAGCTGTTTTACCATACACAACACTGCACATGTTTTACCATAAATTACCCCATACAACATGTTTTACCACAGATAACACCCCACAACATGTTTTCCCAAAAGAAACACCACCTTTTACCACACAAAACACCGGCTCAACTGCTCCAGTACATGCAACATCAACTCACCTGCTCCACTTTACAAAGCCTGTCCACATGTTTCTGATACTGCCTCATACAGTCTTCGGCCAGGTGAAAATGTGCAGAGTACTTGCTGAGCTCCTTCTGGTACTGGGGAGCCTTCTTCAGCATCTGGCTCAGATCTCGGATGTTGGTCTTATCAGAGGTAGTCATCCGTTTGGATTCGGCAAACTGCTTCAGCCTCTTGGTAACCTGCCTATTAAAAGTAAAGTACTTTGCAGATAAGATTACCTGAAAAATGTTTTGGGAGTAAGGGCAGCCAGACTCATGCTGATCACATTATTCAGCAAGTGTTGACTGGTCTAAAAACAAATACGATGGCAGCACCAAATGCCCTATGTGCCTCAAAGCATGAAAACGGTGTTATTTTTTTTTTCACTTATTAGCTTCAGGCCTGCTTTGTGCAGAGTGGCAAGCTTCACTTCAGAGGTCCCGGGTAGTTAGCATCCTTTGGATATTTTTTCCAGGTTATGCGGGTGTGTTGGGAAATAAGCAGACAAATAGACTAGCTGGCTCTGCACCACTGGCTTACCTGTATGCAGACTGTTGGTTCCTCACTCTTCGGACTGATGCACTCTGACATAAAAATAAACACACCTAATAAAGTCTTTTACAACATTTCTGTTAGTGGGGCAGTTGGATCTGTTCTGTTTCTCCCCAAAATCTGGCCTCAGAATCAATAGGGTGACTTTCTTGGATGAATCTTTGGGTCCCATTTTAAGGAAGCTAGGATGACAATAGAGAAAAAATACAGCTCTAAAGTTATTCTTCTGCTTTTTATCTACCAATGGGGACTGAGCCTTGAGAGGCAGGTGGTATGAAGTGTTGGTGTGGGGGGTAGTGGTTCCCCCCCCCCCCCCTCCCCTTACTTCACCCTAGGTCTAGTGAATATCTGTTCATGAAAGAAGCGTCCATTGTAGTGTCAGCCTCTTGACCTAGCATAACCTCTCTTACCCCAAGACCACTGTTATGGCAAAAAGTCACAGCCTCCCTAAGGTAGTCCTGGTAACTGGGGTTGCGAATCTCCAGGCAAAACACAATGGATCTAGAGGAGCAAACCTCGATAATAAACCCGGTGCACCACACCGTACTGCCCTCTGTGGGAGGAAAGGAGCAGGAGGTGCGCTGAACAGTCTTAGGAATGGAAACAAGTATGCTAACCCCCCTGAATACCAGAAACTATCATGAAGGCACAGGGACTCAGGAAGTGACGATCCAGTTGCCCCAACTACTCATGCTTAGAACCATGAAGAGCTCAGAGAAACCAATAGGCAATCTGGTGGCAGGGAATGAGCACACTGTGAGCCCCACCTAAGCTAAGTGTTAAAGGGGAAGGCTGAAACACAACCCATATTTCCTTTAGAACTGGTACAGGGCATTTCTGGCTGCTGCCCAGGAAGGTAGGTAATCCACCCCAGCACCACAATGCCATAAATATGAAAGAATCTACTGATGGAGTATAGGCTATCAACCAACTCACATTAATCTGTATAAAATTGATTATTACTTGGTTTTTGAGCCAGTATTCCAAGGTACGAGGGTTGCTAGGCTCACTTCAGCTCCCCTTAGTCTTTTTTCTTATCAAATGCAGGGTGTCTTGGGTTCAAATTTGCATCGGGCCAGATTTTTTTGGTTTTTACAAAACATGACCTTGGCTCCCAGGTCAACCTAGCCTAACATGGATATCACACAATGTCCTGGGATACACAGACAACTGAAGTGATGCTGACTCTATCACCCACTAAGTGCTGGCAGGTTCACAAAACATGAGTCTAGCTTCGTATGCCTGAGGCAGGACCGGCTGCAGATGACGGGCAGTGCTGCTGACGTCACCAGGTCGGACTAACGATGCGTTAACGAAGCGATTCTCAAACTGGTTGCCGCGCACCTTGGGGTGCAGGGACAATAATCAAGAAAAATCAGGTTAAAAATGTTTAAATTATTAAAGAAGGCATGTAGATACTGAAAAGTTAAAATTCAAGCAGTCTTCCCTCGACACTGCCGAAAATAGTTTATTTCTTGATTGAGAACCGCTGCGTTAACCCGAGCCGGTGACATTAGCAGCACAGCCCGTCAGCTGGTGCCGGTCGTGCCCGAGGCGACACTGGTGCGAAAAGGGTCTTTTAAAATAAAAAAAAGTTTTACAAGTATGATAGATTACAGCTTAATCATTCTTTATTTTCCTTTTAATTCCCAGTTACCCACAGGCCAAGAAAACATGCAGTACATGAAAGACAAATCATGCCTACTGTGACACAATGGCCATGTGCTGGTGTCGAAGTTCAACCCACAATTCATCATTTTCGTCAAGCAAGTACTCTTTCTCTGTCACCTCGTTACCACTGGTGTTTTCATACCTGCAGAATAACCAATAACTCACAATAAAAAAAAAGTGTCTCTAAAAGTAAATGTAATAGTAATACTATTCCTTTTTAATCTTTGTCTACAACATGAAAAAGAAATGTTTTTTTTTTAATAAAAAAATTATACAGAAACAAATGACAAATATTACGAAAAAATACTGCTTAAAGGAAATATTACAAATATTAGATGCAAATACTACTCAAAGATATTACAAATATTAAATAAACATATTTAAAAAAAAAAATAAACATTACAAACATTAGATTACAATGTTTCCTCATTATCATAATTTTCAGGTGCCTTGCCAGCTGGCGTAGATGTTCATGCCTATCCACAGATCTCAGTTTTTGGTATTCTGGATCAATTCCACTTATGATATTGCTCCATGCCACTGTCATAAGCCATCCACTATCATTTCTCTTGGTCTGACTTTGCCACTTCTACCAGTGATCTTTACAGTTGTCGCGATATTTCCCAGTGCTCCTTTTTCTCATCACATGACCAAAGAGCTTTGTTTGTCTCCTTGACATTGTTGTATATAATATTCTACTTTCATTAGCCATTTCCAGGCAATCATTGTTAGTTATTCTGGCAGTCCACAGTATTCACAAAACCTTTCTCAAGAACCACATCTCAGTTGCCTCAAAACTGTTCTTGATTTGTTTGCTTGCATTCCAAGATTCATTGCCATACAACAGAACAGGTTCGATGTAACATTTCAGTACTCGTTTCTATTGTTCCCCATCCAAACAAAACAATACAAATTACAACAGATGAAAATATTCCTTATTATAAGAGATGAATATATTACAAATATCTGATGAAATAATCCTTGAAATAAAAAAAAAATATATTAAAAAACAGAAAACAAACACAATAAAAGCAGTAGAGAGGAATATTTAGCAAACAAAATAAATAGTACAAATATCAGATGAATCTGTTCGTGATTTGAAGAAAACACTGACATCTGATAAAAAATATGACATGAGAAAAACCCATGAAAAATAGATGACAATATTCCTCAGACAAAAGAAGCATTACAAATATGAGATAAAAACTGTTCCTCGCACAAATTTTATTTCATGTTTATATTTACGAGCCAGCTGTCTTTGATGACATTGCATGACATATGCATCACCCCCCCCCCCTCTTGGTAGCGAATCTGGAAAATTCTTTTATAAAATTTAATTTCAAAAGCTTTAACCAATTCTTTTCAACCTTCTTCAGGACTTGAAGCAGAACAAAGATCAACATGTAATTATTTACTATCTATTTAATAGCTGTTACTAAAGAGAAAAGAAGAACAGAGAATCACCAAAGAATCACCAAACAGGCAGTGAAATGAGAAACAGATTGACTAAGGTAACGAGGATGTCCAAGAGCAACTCTAAGGTGAATGTTGATAAGAGAAGATCTAAGTGCTGACCTGGATTCCATCCATGATATCGAAGTGACTGCACAGAATGAAGAAACATACTGCAAACACAATGATTGAATGTTATTAAAGATTAAAAGCAGATGCTACTATAGGAAAATAAACACCAGAGGAGCATAACAGTTGGATGAATTTAAAAACTGCAAAGAAATCAGGTCTGAACAACTGCAGGTATAAGTCTTCTTCTTATTCTGCACTCACTCTCAAAAGGCAACCGGCATGATGTGTTGTGATTGACAGTTATATTATCAAAATCGATGTCACTGCACACTGGACATGACCATCCGTACCCAGTTTACAAGTAGCCTGCAATATCTGCACTTATTCTGTCTCAACAGGAGTCGCCGTGGCGGAGCAGCTAGATGCTTGCCTGCGGATCGGAAGGGCATGGGTTTGCTCCGTGGCGGAGCCAGACATTTGTTTTCAAATATGAACTTGGCTCCCAGGTCGACCCAACCTTGAGTGGGTACCGGGTGCAGTCCTGGGAAGTAAAGGCGGCTGACTGATCAATAAAATATAGGTCTAGCCCTAAATGCCCTATAGGCCTAAAGGGTCCTTTACTTTACTTACTTACTCTGTCTCAACACATTTCAGCAAATCCCTCAGTAGTCACCTTTTTTGGCATGCTTGTTCAGCGAAACAGGGGGGGGGGAGGGAGGGGAAGAAAGGTATAAAAAGTAATATGAACAAGAAGATGGGAATGTACCAGGCACATTCTAAGACACAGAGTGGACAAAGAATCACACACACAAAAAAGTACCGATAAGGAAAACAAATGTACTGTTAAAGTCAGGATGTCCAAAGAAAGACTTTGTCAAATGTTTATACGATAAGCTTGAGAGGGCCGGCATACATTCTACAAACAGGACTTCAAAACTGCACAGAAATTAAACTGCAAGCTCTATACAACATATAAAGACAAGAGCAGGATAATGAATGTTGCTGCCTTTCACCAAAATCAACGAAGATTCAGCTCTGCCAAGAGCTACTGAATATTTAGTAGTGATGGAAGGTATAATGTCCAGAAAACTATTTAGAGGTAGGCGTCTGCAAAGAAGGGGATACAGGACATTGAATATGCACAGGGTAGGACAGCACATAGGGCAGGAGAATTGGCTAGAGAAAGAGAGACTTTCAGACAGGCTGTAAGGAGAGTGACCTTCTGTAAAAGGACATGCTGTCTGATGCTGATTATATTCAGAGAATACAATTTCATACGCTCAATGATAAACTTACTTATAAACATCATTTTCAATTGGCAGCAAGTCATAAGCCATTGCCTGAAATGTCAGCTCATGCAACAGTGGAGAAATGGGGTCAAATCCTCGATCCAAGATCAGCAACATAGAGCGGGCTTTCTGGGGACCCTGGGCACAATAACATGAAATTAACGTAAGTAATGAAATTTGTTAGTAACTTATTTAAGTAGTTTAGTATTTCATTTTTTTAAATTTACTTATTTAAGTAGTAATTTTGATAGTCAGGGAAACACAAAGAATTTAGGTAGTTAAGTATTTTACTTATTTAAATTTATTTATTTAAGTAGTAATCTTGATAGTCAGGGAAACACAAAGAATTTAGGTAGTTAAGTATTTCACTTATTTAAATTTATTTATTTAAGTAGTAATCTTGATAGTCAGGGAAACACAAAGAATTTAGGTAGTTAAGTATTTCACTTATTTAAAGTTATTTATCTAAATAGTAATCTTAAATAGTCAGGGAAACACAAAGAATTTAGGTAGTTAAGTATTTCACTTATTTAAATTTATTTATCTAAATAGAATCTTGATAGTCAGGGAAACACAAAGAATTTAGGTAGTAAAGTTTTTCGCTTATTTAAATTTACTTATTTAAGTAATTGTGATCAAGGAAAACACATCAAATTTTGGTAGTAAATAAAAAACTCAATTTTAAAATTGCTGTTGAACCCCGCCTCCCACAAGTCAGCAGGCAAATATACAGCAACTTAGCTGTCACGGCTCCCAAGGTTCCATACAAGGTCACAAAGGGTTATCCAACTGACCTCTCCCATTGTGTGGTCATCTGCTCTATAGGCGTCCAGCTTTTGTTGAACCAGCTGGGCAAATTCTGCATTGCGGTCAAAATCCCTGAAAATAAATTGCAGAAAATATGTAAAACACTGATATGTGTAAGATCAATGTGAGAGGAAAGAAAAATAAAACAAGCAGACAATAATTGATCTGTTTTATAACAACAAAGTTTCAATCAAACATGCTTTACTGCCCATATGAAGTCTCTGAGCCTCTGAGGAAAACTCACCTAGGAAAAAAAAACAACTTTTTAATGCACACCTCAGGACTGGGTATTTCCCCCAATTTATGGTATGGAACCTGATGGCGACGAATGTCTCATGGCAAAAACAAAACAACTTACGATCGGTATCTCACAGCTGGGTACTCCCCCAAAGTAGCACACAGGGTAGCAATTTGCTCTGCACAGCGTTCGAGGTTGATGGTACGACCTGGTTTGTTTGGCGTATAATAGAACTGGAATGTTTCTGGAGAGTCTAGGGAATACACCTGTAACAACAGCATGGGTTGCGTCATAAATGGGCGACAAACATTTCTTTTATGAAACTGATCACACTGTGGGTGAACGAACTATGGGTAAGAAAACTTTCTTATAATTCTGTGTGTGTGCAATGACAAATTACATAACATAACCCTTGACCCATTAGGGTCCTGGAGGTGTATTGATGGAAGCACTAGCACATAAAACCTGCCATCTTTCTGTCTTCTGATTGATGAAAAAGTGTATAATAACAGTCCTGTCCATTACTTGATGTTGTCATTCCAGTTTCTTCTTTGCCTTCCTCTTCTCCGATACCCCCAAATGTTCCTTGAAGTACAGTCTTTGCAATCGATTCATGTCTCACCACGTCCAAACTAAGCTAGCTTGCGACATTTCACCACTGCCAAGAGAGGCTCCTGGTGTCCGACAAATTTGTATATTTTTTTGTGACACAGGTAAGTCAGATTTATTAAATAGATGCCCATGGAACACTTAGGTTCTGGAATAAGACTGTCCAGAGGCGGGTGAACAGCCTGAACTTTCCGCTCAAGTTTACAGCCAGTGAACGCGAAGAAGAAGATACAAGATACTTATTTTGCACAATACAATTATGGCCATTCTGAATATCTAATTGATTTCTCTCTCACGCATGACCATCATCATCATGTAACAGATCCTTCACAGAACACTGATTTCCACACCTTATCAGAAAGACCATTGGTTCCTTGACAACTATTGCCCCATGGGATATGCAGAGATGCTGAATCAGATGTGATGGTGTACCAGGTTTAGGGCTCACATTGGTCAAGACTCAACTTCCACTCTCCATAGTCATCCTAGAAACATGTTTACAACCGGGTGCCTGGCCACAGTAGATCCGTTATATATTTCAATCAAAGTCACAAAGCATCTCCCTGAAAAGCGAGAAACCAACAGTTTGTATACAAATAAGCCAGATGTGTAAAACAGATGTACATACAAAATGCAAGTACTGGAACCAGACCAAAGTCCAGAAGTGGGCGAACAAGCAGGATTTCCCACTGCAGTATACAGCCAGTGAAAGCGAAGAAGATCCTGCCTCATGAATTTTCATGCCCAAAGTGTCTCTAATATCCTGTGTTAACCTGTATGCTGATAGATGCCTGTCAGTTAAGCTGAGTTGAGTTAAGAAATGACATCACAGCACTCAGTGCATTTCCATACGCGCTCTGTTTCCACCCTCAGCAGCCAGCTCAGAGTTCCAATACTAACGGTGCCAGTCATAGTTTGGTTGTATGTCCGCCCTTCCACTGAGGGTAGTGTGCCGCCCGAACCCTCTGGTCACACCCATATGCATCATTCTCTCCAGCCCATAACAATCTAGTTTCTTTTCTGACTTTGTTACTTGTTCCCAAAGGGCTCTGACCACATCTGCCTTGTCATGCATCATTCATCCCTGCCAAAGATATACAAGTAAGTCTGTGCCAGCTCATGAAACATCCCATCCCAGTGGTGATGCCTTATTTTAGACCTATTAGAGAACTTGGCAGTAGTTAACTGAATAAAACAACACAACAGAATAATATAATATAACTTGAAAAAAACAGTCACAAACTAGTAAATCAACAAGAGGCAAGACTGAATAATTCTTATCACAATAACACAACAGCACAGCAAAAGAGTGAATATTTCACACAATGTGATAAAACAGAAAAACACTGAATATTTAACACAACTTTATAGTACAACAAGAAAAACTGAACATTTCATACCACAGTAAAACAAATACATAGCAAAAGACTGAATACTATTTCACATAACTTAGTATATCAACAACATGCTAGACTGAATATTTCTTATCACACTAAAACAACAGCACAACAAACAAGTGAATAATTCTCATGGCAATAAAACAAGGAGACTAAATATTTCATATAACTTAATAAAAACTCTCGTACAAACCTGGGATTCATATGGAAGGAAAGCAATGTTGATCTCTTTCAAAGTTTTTATGAACTTTGCACTGGGAGATTTGCATAACTCATTGAATGATTCATCTGGGCAAGCTGAAATTAAAACAGCAAAAGTAAAAACAGCATTTCCACATCTTGAGGTCATCATGACCCCGGCCCCCTTTTACTTTCCACACAATTTCCTGGTATTCATTTTAGGCTGGGTTCAAACAGGAGCCTAGGTTAATTTTTTAATTCTCCTAAATTGGATCTGAACTTTTGACAACTGGGTCAGCAGATAAGTACGCTATCCACAGTACTAACACAGCTCCCAATTAAAACAGTTCACCTTCTTCTTTTTGTTTTCCCTGCAAGTGATTTTTAGAGGAGAAGCCTCTATAAAGTTTGTGGTGCAACACATGCCTTCCACTGTGTCACACAGCCTGGTTTCCACTGGAATGTAACGTCCAGAATTGGACAAACCAGAATTTTCTGCCGGAGTTTACAGCCAGTGAGCTCAAAGAAGAAGAAGAAACTCTATTTCCTTGACGAAAGAAGAAGAGGAAAAAAGAAATATTCACTGACCTTCTGTAAAATAAACGTGTGCTGCTTTATACTGAGTACTGTTTGGGTTTTGGAAATCTGCAATCATTCCCTTGATAGACTGAAAAGATGAAAGACAATCTTTAATTTCATCATGGTAAAACATAGCAGTTTACAAAATAAAAGATACAGATTTAAAGTATGTTGTCCAGCGCTCAGATATTTCATACATTCAATTACAGAGATTCTTTATTTGCAAGGAAAGCAGACTCTTGACAACCTTAAATTAGTCATCTTTCACAACAAACATGGTTGGTTGCCTGTTCTTACCCTTGGATGCCTTGGTACACCCACCCTACAAACATCATAGGAAGAAAGAAATGGTGTTGTTGAAAGCCTAATAATCTGCTGCGTTTATCTAAAAATGTAAAAACTGTGCTCAGTAACAACATGGTTGCGATTTTTGAGCCTTTCAGCAGACATTTCTAACTTCTGCAGATATCTGTTGCCCTGATTAATCTTCCCAAACTCATACATGGTGCTCTGGTACTGGGCTCACCCAAGGAATTGCCACATCCTGCTCCTGACTGTTTAACCCTACTTCTGTATAACCTTTGGAAGATCAGGACAGACAAGCTTCGTCCAGAGTGGCATGCTTCACTGCGGAGGACACGGGTGAGTACTGTCTGGATTTCCTCCTGGGACACACCAGCGTATTGGAAAATGTACAAGCAGACAGACTGGCTGGCTCTGCACAACTTGGTGGAATACTGATGCATGATAAGGCACACGTGGTTAGTGCCTTGTGGGAGAGCGTGTACAGTTCGGAGGAGCAGATGGATCACCAGTTTGGTGAGACTGATGCAGGGGGGAGTGGCGAGAGGTTCTGGCATATGCTCGAGGCTCAGAGGAAAGGCAAGATGGACGTTTAATCAGAATGCTACTGGCACCATTAGTATCGGAACTCTTTGCTGGCTGCTGAAGATGGTGACGGAAAGCTTATGGGAATGCCCTGAGTGCTGAGATGTCGGTTCTTGAATCAACTCAACTCTGTATAATCAACCTCTCATCCATCATGGACTACTCCTTTAGATGCCAGGAAGAGGCAGCCAGCATGTTAGACTTTAAATGTGTGGACTACTGTGTTCACTACAGTTCCATACAAAGTTAATTCAAATAACGCATAAACTTGCATTTCTTCTTTTGTCATTTACTGCTCTACAGTCCTTTTAATATTTTCTCCAGGTCATGCGGTTGTGTTGAGAAATGAGTACGCATAAAGACTGGCTGGTTTTGAACCACTTGGTGGTGAATTGATGTATGACAAGCTAGATATTGTGAGGGCCCATTGGCAGCAGTTCGAGGCACAGATGGATCATTATGGTCAGAGGAGAATGGCGCTCCAAGGAGTTACCAGGGGATCTGGCCGACGCTCAACACTCAGGGGAAAACAATCAGACAGTTACTGGTGCCATCGGAATTGAAACTCTTTGCTTGCTTATAGGAGTGTCATGAGTGCCATGATGTTGATTACTAATTCAATATTCAACATGCTCTACACTGTTAGGCATTGAATTTTAACAGATGATCATAGTTGATCCAGGTCATACTAGGCTTCTTGGTATGATGTGAAGAAGACTCGGGCTGTCACACTGATTCCTTCAAACCATATTTTTCTGGGTCTCCCTCTGCCTCCTGCTGTTTCCATTTTCAGGTTGTTTGCTCTTGCTGTCAGCATTATTCTCATTAAGTGAACAAACTATTTCAATCTTTGTCTCTCAGCGAATCTGAACAAACCAAAAGTTCTTGTAATATCTTTATTTCTCACAAACAATATCTTCTGGTTGTGTTTGTAGCTCTTGTCAAACATCTAATTTCCAGGATGGTGAGTTTTCTCTTGTGTTCTCTAGTGAATGTCCAAGTCTAACACTGGTAAGCTAAAGTTAGTATAAAGATTGCTTTTATAATGCTCGTTCTTATCTTTATAAGGAAATGTAATGTTGGCTGTTGAATCAAACAAACACAACCCATTGCCTATCTTTTGTGGGTTTACATTCAAACTATTACAGTAACACAGGAAGAAAGAGTAAAAGATAAGAAGAATCCAGCCTACCTTATCAATTGGAGTAATTAGGTAAATTGCTTCCAGCAGCGGCAACGGTTCCCGTCGCTTATTTATGTCTTCCACCACTGAAAAATATAATGCACAAAACAAAGCACGTTAATCAAAATAATATTAATTAAATATAGTTTAGTTTAGTCAACAGATCAACATCACGGCACAAGGGTAGTAACCCATAAGTGCTCTGTTCTACTTCTAACTCAAGCCTGAGTCTGAAGAATCTCAGTGCAGTGCACGAACTCGGTTGCACCGGCGAGGATCCTGAAATACCTTTTGGGTAGATTTTTAACTCCGAATTTTGCAGGAACAGCATGTTAGGCTACTCTTTTCAATTTGCAACTGCCAAGGTAATGTTTATGTGCAAATAATACACACAGTCACCGTGGCATAGCAGCTAGACACTCACATGCGGATCCGAAGGTCGTAGGTTCGCCCCCCATCCCCCAAACAAGGGCCCATAAATCCCAAGGAGGAATGGTTATTACAATCAGAAACAACAATCTTTGCTTTGGACATAACACAAGAAGAGGAAAACTACAGTATTTTGTGGCAAGAGAAAATCTTAGAAAGAGAGGCATCATTCATAATTATTATTGTCTGTGCCTTTTTGCATCACATAAGACTCAAAGTCTATTTCTCCATTTCATCCTTCCCTTTGCAAATCTCTTTGACATCATGGCTTGGAATCCAATCTAACACCTTTGGCCTCTCTTATCAACATCCGTTTAAGGGTTTCTTTTGGATGTCCCCGCTTCCTCATTCCCTTTATTTCCCACTTTTAGTGCCTGTCTGGTGATTCTCTGCTTGCTTCTTCTCTGGATCTGTCCAATATAGTGCCACCTTCTTTGTCTTGTAACTCCTGTTACCAGCGAAAATTGCCCAAACAAAGAGATCTCAAATGATTCAAAGGCCAGGAATGAGAGAGCTGAGGAGTAGGAACAAGACCTGTTTTAGGAGACTTACAGGTGATGCCCTCAGACATGATCTCATGCATTTTGCAACAGGCTGAAATCATTCGTTTGCTGAGACTGTCCACCACCAACACCTTCCACTCTCCTGCCTTCTTCTGCTGCCTGATTACATCGTTAAGGATTTCTGTTCGGAGACACAAAATCAAACCATCAACATTTATAATGTGTACACTGTGTACATGTGGGGATTAGCAAAAGCCCCAGTTAATGAACCCGTTCATCCTGGAAACACACACACACACACACACAAGCAAAATAGGTCGTTGACCCCAGGAACCTCTGCCACTGCTGGAATTCCTGGAAAAATATGCACATAAATAAAAGTGTACACAGGTCACTTAACAAATTTTCCAGTGAGGGTTCTGGGGCCCTATTATAGGGAATACAAGAACAGACCCACTGCCTACCTAGAAGCATGTCGTAGGAGTAGGCTAACTGGGAGCCTCCTTCAAAGTCGGAGTGCATCTACCTGAGGCAAGGAACCAGCAGTCTGCATACAAAAAAAAATCCAGATCTGTTAAACAGATGTACACGCAACATTCAGGTTCTTGAACAAGACTAAAATCATGAGGTGGACAAATAACTAGAACTTTCTGCCAGTTTTACAGCCAGTGGGTGAACACGAAGATGAAGAAAACTTATAAACTTGTTAAAAATATATTTATTTATATTTTAATTTCTTCTTTTTCAAAATATATAAAGAGATATGAAAGGAGTAATCAATAAACACTGCAGGGTGAAGCATTAAATGGAATACATTCCCAGGGGCAAAAACACTAAACCCCCACATGTATTACGTGCCTTATACCCTAACTCAGTGACATTCATCACAGAGGCTTACAGGAAACAGGTTAATTTCGCTTCAATTCTTACGGTACCAGAAATCAGTTAAAATAGCTATAAATCAACTCGTAGTGCATTTCCTGTGACTCAAAAAGTTGAGAAAAAAAAAGGCACATAGGTGACACACACACCCCCCCCCCCCCCCCCAATGCTATTGTTAGTTAATATATGCATATCCTGACCCCCTAAATGTCTGCGCAGGCATGAAAACAGCCAACAGCATTAACTATGCATCTCCTAAACAGGTCACTATAGACAAGTCGGAAAAGTGACATTTATGGGGAACAGGACACAACCGAAAGTGTTGATTTTTCAACTTCTCTGGGTGAAAGGGTTAAGACAGTATAAGTGTAAAGGTAGTTTAATATCATATACTGCCACTGGGGTGTGAGGCATCAAAATGGATGCAGGTTACACACTTGTGTGTCATGGGAAGCAAAGGTGGCTGGCTGACAGGATGCTAACTACATCGCCTATTGCGTACTAATTGGTCTATAGCAGGCAATTTTTATTATCCAGAAAAACATGGTGATAGTACTCATCAGAAAGTGTCTATAAAAAGGTGCCAGTACTGACCACTGCGCATCAATAGGTACTGCCAGGCACACTCTCACGCTGCACCCAACACAATTTTGCACTGCAGCAGACACACTAATATGTTGCATCACAGTTTGGAAAGCTGTGCTCTATGGTAAAGGTATTCAAAGGGCTTTTTCTACACACAGAAAAAGAGTTGGTACTCACCATAAGGTGTCTAACAAAAGGTGCCGGTACACCCACAAAGTGTCTATTACACCAGTATTGAAAATAGGATGCCTTAAAATAAAGGTGCCAGTACTGCAAACCATTGTGTACAACCAGAAAAAAAAATGTGGGTATAGGAAATACTGCTGCAATGGTGAGATGTATTAAACCTTCCCATCTCACATTCGACATCACATATTATGAGACAGAAATGTTCAGTTCCCTTCCTCATCACCTTTCTATGCTTGTGTATGTATGAACGTATGGGTATGCATGAGAGTATACATATGGGTTTTAATGAGTATGTGTGTGTAAGTATGAGTAATGTATTGTATGTATGTAATGTATGCATGAATGTAATGTAATTATGTATGCATGTGATTTTTTATTGATACTTTAATTGTGGTCTGAAAGAAAAGTGTCTGTAAGGGATGAATGTAAAACGGGCCTGCATGCCTAATTTGTGACCCTTTAAAAATAAAGTCTGCTCCCTAGATCATTCTATATCAGAAAATTCTGGAAATGATCTAATCTTTTTCTTCGGCATTCTGAACCCTGTAGGTTTATTGCTGCAGATATTACCAGCGCCTCTATTCCTCTTTGCGAATGGCCTTCTCTTTCCAGTTGGTAACTCCAGGTATTTGTACAGGGCTGGCGAGCCAAATTTATTCTTCTGTGACATGTGTGGGAAAAAATATGTTTGTCTGAAAAGTGTCATCGACATGAACAGCACAGATTGCGCCGTCTTAGAGACTCAAAAGAAGCACTGTGGTGGTGACAGTATTAAGCCCTAATGAACACTGCTGCTGCTTTTTTTTTTTTTTTTAACTAATTTTCAAACTTGATAAAAACATCACTACATGGATTCAAATCCTAGATCGACCCAGCCTTAAAAGGGCACTAGGTAAAATACTGGAAAGTAAAGGCGGACGGCGTGTTGTTGATCCACACCACCCATCGAGGCTCAGCTGGTCTATAAAATTATGAGTCGAGCCTCATATGCTAGCTGTGCCCTTAGTGCGTAAAAGGGGACCTTTACTTTTACGTTTTTTAATTTTACATGGCTTAATACCATTCATTTCATTCGACCAAGTCCATCCTTTCTAAGAAAACAACTGTCGAAGTTGTCTAATCATCTAATGATTCGGCTCTCCTCCGAACTTCTACACCCGCAGTATTGCGGCCTGAAATACCCGTTTGGAGCGCAGTTCAATTAAAAATACGGACTTGTCGGAGTTCCGCCGGGGAACAAATTGCGGCAAAACTAGGAGCACCTTACAATGTCACGAGACGCAACATTGCAGACGATAGTAGCAGACGATAAAGGCGACCAGTGACAATGTCGAGCGTTTTCTGCGACCGTCGACAATTTCGAGACATTACAGACGATGACAGCGATATGGCGGGTAGACCACGCGCTCCCACACAGATTAGCAATACTATTCTTCCGATTAAGGATTTAGCAGCGGTAGATGTCAGACCTGTCGGCATGCGCAAAACGCGATTAAACTCACAGACGAGCGTATCCCCTGCGCCGCTACGCACAGCGCGGATGGGGGGCTAAACTAGGTGCCTGGGACTCACAAGCAAAGTAATTGGAGAAAGTTGCAGGAGATGCGGTAGCTGCCGCTCGTGAGTCCCAGCCATCTAGTTTCGCGTAGCGGCGCGGTGGATACAGTCGGCGGTGAGCCATAGTCACAGAAACAGGTCCGCAAGTAACATATTGCTGAGACCCTGTTAGAGCATTTGTGTCGTTTTTCCGAGCCGATCCTAGATTTGCCACAATTTGTTCGTCGGCAGAAAGTTCGACAATGGAAAGTATCAACGGTCGCTATTATCGTCGTCTGCTACTATCGTCTGCAGTGTTGCGTGCGTCTCTTAGAACTGTCAGGTAATCAGAAACAATATTATAAGAAACAGGTCCGCAAGTAACGTATTGCTGAGACCCTGTTAGAGCATTTGTTTTGTTATACGGAGCTGGCATTATTTTTAATTGGACTGCGCCCCGAACGGATATTTCAGACGGTAATACTAGCGACTACGGTGTTCGGCAATTTGCGGTCTTTTTGGCAATTTCCGTTACCATGGAAACCGTTCAAAACTTGTTTGGGAAATGTCGGCTGGTTTCGGGATGGGTCCTAATCTCTCATGAAATTTTGCGATTGGTGTGATTTTCACCAGCTATAAATAGCTGAAAACGGCGGGAACGAACCCGATTAACAGCGCATGTCTACGACAGCCGGACGTCCTCTGTTTTTCTGTTACATTCAGTTTGACTGAAAATAGCGGTAAGTATTCAAGGTTGGCTTTAGGCTTTAACATTACTTGACATGGTAATGCTAATTATAATTGAATTCTCCATCCAATTTTACATTTGTGTATACAATTTCTTTCTTGTCAGTGGCTGTTTAGATTTACAGTGACATTTTTCAGGCAATCGCTATTATGTGGCTGTGTCTGAGAAAAATTGTCTGCCATCTTGTCCAATGAAAACAAAGCCAAAACGAAAGTTGCGCAGTTTGGTTGTGCAGAGAAAACTTCTTGTTTCTCAGACACAAGTTTTAGCAGCTCAGAAATGACATACAAGCCTAAATGAGGGACCGTTGGAAAGAGATTGTTTACAGCTATCCAACTGTGCTGGTTTTATTGGTCTAGAGGGCATTTTGAAAAGTTGACTAAAGTATCTAACTAGGGCGCTTCTTTGATTTATTCCCCAAAATGGCGGCATGCCACAAACTGGCCATAAAATATCCGAACGACGGTGTTCGCGTATATCTAAAATACAGACTTTCTACCAACGAACAAATTGCGGCAAAACTAGGATTACTTGACAACCAATATCAACATTTGCACACGGTACTAGTAGCAGCCGATAAATACCGACCGTTGACAACAATTTCGAGCGTTTTTGCAGACAACGATACTAGCAGACGATATTAGCGACCGTTTACCAATTTCGAGACATTACAGACGATGAAAGCCGATTAGCAATACTGTGTTCTTCCGATTGGAGGATTTAGCAGCGGTAGATGTCAGACTTGTCGGCATGCGCCAAACACGATTAAACTCATCGCCGAGCGTATCTAGGTGCCTGGGACTCACGAGTACAGTAATTGGAGGAAGTTGCAGGAGATGCGGTAGCTGCCACTTGTGAGTCCCAGCCATCTACTTTAGCCCTCATCCGCACCGCGCGTAGCGGCGTGGGGGATACGCTCGGCGGTGAGGCACACTCGCAGAAGCAGGTCGGCAAGCAACGTATCGCCCAGACCCTGTCAGAGCATTTGTTTCGTTATTCGGAGCCAGCACATATATTTTTAATAAAACTGACCCCGCATTCGGATATTTTTGGATATTTTATGGCCATAAATTGGCCAATTTATCTCCTTTTTGAACGCCATCATATTACAGCCACCGATTCAAAGAAGCGCCCTAACTA